TCCTGCTTGGCTGGGGGTTGGACTCGATGGCCCTTGTGGTCTCTTCCAACTCTATGATTCTATGATTCTATGAAAAACAGTCCCATCACTTGTGGATATTGGTTTCCTTTCCACAAAAACCTTTTGACCACACAACTGATCATTCCCTATGGATTTATTTAGACTCGCATCATTCACATTTGGTTACCAATATCACCTCTCAGTTCTGTTTGACTCTCTGGGGAATATGCAGCTTTAGAAAACAATGGAAAAGGAGATTGCTTCTGCATTTTGGAACCCTAAGATTTCACAACATGAGATTACTTCCAAAGGGTTTCAGAAGTTGCTGTATCAAACACCCTAGAAATGGATCCTGTTGATAATTCTTTCCAAGGGCAAAAATCCTCCCAGAGCATTTCAAGTCCCCCCTGCCCTGAATCCATATTTTCCGAATAAGCTCCAAAGTGGCATGTTTTGATTTAAAAAATGCTATTTGGAATTATATGTCTTTGTGGGTGTAGGTGTGGGGGTGCATGAACACACACACACACCTCTAATTCTCCCCTTTATGTATGGCCCACTAGTCTGCCGGACATTGACAGGCAACTGGTGGCAGCAAAGCCATCTGCCAAACTGGCTTCCTGCAACTTGCTTGACTTGGGTAAAAAAAAAGGAGTAGAAACAAGAGAAGTATTCCCAGAGCAGTGGAGACAATTGTCTTCCTCTGCCATTTTGCCTGAGCAACAATAAAATTTTTCTACAGGTTAAGTTCGGTTTTATCTCAGGGCACGTTTTGTAGGACGGTGACCATAGTGTGCGCAGGGTTGACCTACAGCCATGGAATTACAAAGCCAGAAAAATCCAGATGACCACAGGCCCAGAAAAAAAAAACAGATGAATGGGAAGAAGAGGCCTGTGATCTGAGTCAAGGCAATGCTAGGATATGGTCACATCAACACCCTATGTTTAAGCCATGGATTCCTCCAGAGAATCCTGGGAACTGTAGTTTTAAAAGGAACTGTAGCTCTGTGAGGGGTAAACTGCAGTTGCCAAGATTCGTTGGGAGAAGCCACATGCTTTGAATGTGCCGCACATGAATCGTGCCTGCTAGGCTCACTGAGAAGATTGAATCAGCTCACAGAATGCAGACCAGGAGTTGGGAAGGAACTGCAGCTTGACAGAGGAAGCCAAAATTGAAATGGCTGCCGAGGGTTTGCCACGGTCTTCATTTTGACCTCCTAGAAAATTCAGGAACACAGGTTGGCTGCAAGCAATTGTTTTCTCAATATTTTTATTGCCTGCTGGCTCTTTTTCTTTTTTTGTAAATTTTTTTATTTGTTTTTTTCACAATTAATTTCCACAGTTAGCTACAAAAGTCAAATCCCCCCCATCCCCATTCACAAACACATTTCAAAACCTTATCTTTGAGGTTCTTTAAACCTCATTCTTTAAACCCTCCATTCCCTCTTCTGGTTCCTTATATTAACAAAATTCTTCTGCATTTCCATAAACATACTTCATCCATTCTTCTTCTTCTAATTTTATCCAAATTTTGCTGATTGCAAATGTGCAGTCAAAGCCTGCCAATGTATCAATTTAGTTATATTATTTTACACATGTACAATAATTATTTCCCTTTCGTTTTCCCAACTTTGGCATATTTAAATTTCACTGGAAGGCGGCTATCAGTTAAATCAGATTTAAAATCCTGCTGACCTTCCTCACAATCTCCTCTTACTCTCAGAGGCTGTGATTTCTGCCTCATTTCAGCCACCAAGGCATTCCCACATATTTCCTGCCTATTCCCCCCCCCATGCCATCCATATCTCCCCTGAGTTTCTCCTGGTGTTTCTTTTTTCCGAATTGTTCCTCCAGCCCTTGCATCGGGGCCTGCACTGCTTCTGTTTTCTTTATCACTGGTTCTATCTTAATACTCAATTTTGTCACCATTTCAATATTTTTGTCCATTCAGGCTATAAGTTTATATGCCGTCTTATCCAAATTTTCCTTTTTCCCTAATCAACTTATCTTTCAATTCATAAAAAAGTTCCACCCATTCACCATAAGGCTTATCCCCAGTGTCCTGTACAGAAGTCCTTCTATCCGAACTTGGGGTTGGTTGCTTTTTAATTGCCATATTCAATAAGTTACTATTAACGCAATCCAAAATAGTCCGAACAGAGTGAAAATATCCAATACTCCTTCTGCTCGATTCACTCTGCCCTTGTCAGATTTCTCTTTCCCTTGTTCTCAAAACAACCTATTTTCCAGCTGTGTCTTATCATTTTGTCAAGGCCACCAAGTAGCACTTTCCCGAAGAACACAATCTTTTGTACTTTTCCACTCCCTCCAGCCTGATTGCCCGTTACACATATACAATTTGAAATAAAATCCAGATTTCAAATTAACATTCAAATTAAATCAATATCTACTTTAAAAAGAAAACAAAAACCATTTGTCCACACAAATTCACAATTTAATTATTTAATAATTCAGAGGCTAGTAAAAGACTCACTGATCCAGTTCTTTAAAAATGTCTTGAAGTAAAATAAAGAGTTACAAACAGTGGAATATCATTATAATTCCTCTTTTCTGGCAAAGTCCAAACACCCTTCTTTCCTTCCCACAACCAGGGAGAGATTTACCAGGCTTCCAGCTCCAAAAAGGCAGTGTTGGGATTCTCAGATGTTGTCCTGTTAGGATATCTGAACCTAAGGGGTCCGGATCCAGTCACCTCGTGCCCTTGCCGTGAGCGTGAAGGAGTCAAGCAGACACCAGGGTGGGCTTCACAGAGAAAAAGGTTTATTGCAGAATCTGCGCAGAGACAGCCAGCGGAATAGCTTCCAAAGACTGGCCGCCCCCCCCCCATTGTCTTGCGAGCATTCTTATACTGAAGCTGCAAGCTTGGCTCCCCAGTTGCTCCCCAATCAACAGGCAGAGATACACTTCATTACCTTATTCGGCTAGCTAAGCCCCCCCTCCCTTTGCAGATCTTATTTGCTTTGCATTGTAAATGTTTGCATCTTTAGCTCAGCTAAGGCAGGAAGCTAGACAGGAAAGTTTGCATGTTCACCACAACTGAAGCAGGAAGCCAGACAGGAAAACCACTGCCGGCCTGCATAGCTAGCCTGCATAGCTGAAGCAATTGTTAGCTGGAGCGCTAATACACGATGGAGTTTTACCCCCCCTCTCCCCTCTCCCTTCACTCCCTCCTCTTCTTCTTGATCACCGTCAGGTGCATCAACAGGGACAGGGCGATACTCCCTCAGGTAAGCTATCACACGGGGGCCCATCATGCGAGACATCATTTTCTCCATCATATTCTGCATGCATTGCATCAAGCAGGGAATACAGAAGCAAGGAAGCAATAAAAGCACCAAGGGGCCTGCAACCATAGTGAATATCCTCCCCATCCATCCGGGGGCGTTCGTGCCAGCAGAAATACAAAAGCATCAAGAAAATCAGGGGCATACACAGAACCCAAGCCCACCAAGCCCCGGGAGTCCAGGGCTCCTCCCACCACATATCAGGCATGATAGGGGCGTGGGGAAGGGATGGCTATCAGGAACGTTGGGGGTACTGGCGTTGGGTACCCCTTCCATCCTCTCTCTTCAGCCGTGCGTAGAGCTATCAGCTTCCTGGAGTGACAGCAGCAGGGCAGTCGTCCGTCGGGCGCCTGGAGATGGTCAGCCGAAGAGGGTCTTGCGGGTTAGGAGACACAGTCCAGTCTGATGATGCCGCCTTCACACGAGTATGGTGGACCCAAGGGGCGATGCCAGCAACCTTGACAGCAGTGGGTGTAGAGAATAGCACAGTATAGGGTCCCTTCCAGCAAGGCTGTAGCGGAGTTTGGGCCCAGTCTTTCACCCACACATCATCGCCTGGCTCGAAACGGTGTAGGGGCTCGACCAGCACACACGGGGTACGAGCCTGGGTCCACCTGTTGAGAGAAAGGAGAGTGCGGGAGAGTGACTGCACATAATGATCTGTTTCAACATCCTGGACCGGGGTGGGGGAAACCATGCGTACATAGGGAACAGGTCTCCCAAACATCAGTTCAAAGGGAGAGAGATGGGTTCGCTTGGATGGGAGACTTCGAACCCGGAGCAGGGCGAGGGGGCAACATCGCTACCCAATTGGACCCTGTCTCTTGTGTCAATTTGGACAGTTGATTTTTCAAAGTCCTGTTCATCCTCTCTACTTTTCCAGAACTCTGGGGTCGGTATGCACTATGTAACTTCCAATTTATCTGCAAGAGCTTAGCTATCTCCTGCAATACTTTGTGCACAAAAGCTGGACCATTGTCCGACCCTATGGAGCGGGGCAAGCCATAGCGGGGAATGATTTCCCGGAGCAGACACCTAGCAACTTCAGATGACCGCTCAGTCTTGGTGGGCCAGGCCTCCTCTTCCAGTGTCCCTCTTGGCGGCAGATGGCGCACTGGTTGCGTCCCAGGCGGCCGCGCCCTCCTCCCCGGGCAGGTTCCCCCGCGCTGCTGTTGCTGGCGTGCAGAGCCATGAGTTTCTTAGCCTGGTAATTTTCTTTCTTCTTCTGGGCTACCTCATCTCTCTGGTTATACGTGGTTTGTGCCACTTCTAACATCCACTCCAGCCCATGGCCCAGGAACCCTTCGGTTTTCTGAATTTTTTGGCGAATATCGGGAGCGGCTTGGGCCACAAAGGCTGCCTTAACGACCGGAGCATTGGCAGGATCGTCTGGGTCCAGAGGGGTAAACTGCCGGTAGGCTTCCTTCAGGCGCTCCAAATAAACCCCTGGCGCCTCATCTGATTTCTGGACCACTTCAGCCACCTTAGCCAAATTAGTGGGCTTCCTAGCTGCCCTCCTCATTCCCGCCAGTACATGGTTCCTGTATGTTGCCAGGGCGGTCTGAGCATTCTGATCCTGATAGTCCCAATTAGGAGTGGCTCGGGGGTAGGCATCATTCATTTGGTTATCATTTAATTGTAACTGCCTCAGATGCGCCCTTGCCTCACTATGGACCCTCCGGACTTCTTCCGTTGTTAACAGAGAGTCCAAAGATATTGAACATCATCATAGGTAGGGTCATAAGTTTTAAAGATCCCTTCAAAAAGTTTGATGATTTTGGCTGGGTTCTCCTCAAAGGAGGGGTTTTGATTGCGCCAATTGCAAATATCAGCAGTTGAAAAAGGCACATGTTGGATTGTGTAGGTGCGTGGTGCTGCTGCCCCATTCTCCCCTGGCGGTCCCGGGGGGTCATAAACTACCCGGAGGGGCATCAAGGCTGTAGCCTGATCTTTTTCCCCTCTCTCTCTCTCATGGTGGGTGGCGGCTCTACGTGCTGCCTCCAGCCACCTCTTTTGTTTCTTCTTCCAGCGCCCATCCTCACATGGTGCCACTTCTAAAAGGTGGGGACTAACATCCACCTGGTCTTTATAGGGGTCTACATAGTCCTTTATCCATTTGTCTTGCTTCTTGCTCCACTTCTCCCCCTTCTGTACCTTCTCTTCCAACATCTTTAACAGTGTTTCCTCATCCTCCTCATCATCGTCACTTTCGTCCTCCTTATCTGTCTCTGATTTGGTGGGGTTTTTATCCTCAGGGGTTGGGTTGATGAGGCTGCCACCAACTGGGTTCGGGGGGGTTATCCTGGGGATTATTCTGCAGGGGTGGATCATTCTGTGGTGGTGGTGTCGGTGCTGGGGGGGTATAAGGAGGTGGCCTCACAAGTAACTCATCTTCCTTTGTGTCTTGGACCACAAGAGGTAATTTCTGCTGCCGGACAGCACAGATCCTTGCCCGTGGTGGAGCAGTTCGGCAAGCCTGCAGCCAAGGGGGGTTTTTATCCACATTGGTCTTCCACGTGGAAATATAGGGAATTTGGTCTGGATGGTTTGCAATTACTCGCTGCCACAAGGGATTGATCAACCGTCCATCAAAACTGCCCTGGGACAGCCAGCCAGTCCCCTGCGTCGGCCAGTCCACTTCACAGAGGGTCCTAAGCCGCTCCTTCTTCAACTTGAATCCCCAATCATCATCCTTGATGGCCAATTTCCAGTTGTTCAGGAAGCATTCCAAAGGGGTACATTTACTGCTTCCCGAACCCATGTTTACCAGAATACTCCGCTCCTAGCCAAAATCAGCACCTTGCCCACTTCACACGCTACAGACTGTGGCTTGGACGAGCTCGCGCTGCCAAGAACCGCACAGCCCTAGACACGCTTGGCCACGGAGACGCTAAGCCCCGGCCTCTCACACATTCATCCTTTCACTGGAGTATTTGGCCATACAACACACAGTCCACCACCACACCCACCACCCTTTTCCTTTCCACAGGCTGGCAGCAGGACCCCACTGTCCCGGCCAACCCTTCCTGGGGGCACGTTATTGCCACAGCCAGGTGAGACTGATCAGGCCTCAAGCTCTTCTCTTTCCCCAAGAGCTTACCTCTATGCCCTGAGACACACCCTGTGTCCTCCCTCGGCCGATCCTTTTTCTCCCACGACCGGACGTCTCCACTCAGGAACGGAGTGATTGGTTCCCCCCGCAACTGGTGGGTGCGCGAGGGAGCCATCTACGCCGATCCAAGCTGTTCGTCGCGGCCGAGCCTGGCCTTCACGCTCAACCAGCAGGAGAGGGGGTTCCCGGCCAACGCACCAGATATGTTAGGATATCTGAACCTAAGGGGTCCGGATCCAGTCACCTCGTGCCCTCGCCGTGAGTGTGAAGGAGTCAAGCAGACACCAGGGTGGGTTTCACAGAGAAAAAGGTTTATTGCAGAATCTGCGCAGAGACAACCAGCGGAATAGCTTCCAAAGACTGCCCCCCCCTATTGTCTTGCGAGCATTCTTATACTGAAGCTGCAAGCTTGGCTCCCCAGTTGCTCCCCAATCAACAGGCAGAGATACACCTCATTACCTTATTAGGCTAGCTAAGCCCCCCCTCCCTTTGCAGATCTTATTTGCTTTGCATTGTAAATGTTTGCATCTTTAGCTCAGCTAAGGCAGGAAGCTAGACAGGAAAGTTTGCATGTTCACCACAACTGAAGCAGGAAGCCAGACAGGAAAACCACTGCCGGCCTGCATAGCTAGCCTGCATAGCTGAAGCAATTGTTAGCTGGAGCGCTAATACACGATGGAGTTTTACCCCCCCCCTCTGCTCTCCCTTCAGTCCAATTCCTGGCACTGCCTTCCCTGTCGATGTGCAGCCTCTTTGGCCACTTCCAAGCTTTAAACTTCCAGTTTGTCTTTTAAAAAGAAACTTTAGAGACAAGTTCAGTCTTCTTTAAATCACTCCAACCAAAATGTGCCTTGCAAAGCCCACAGATGCTTCCATACACTCACCCAACAGAGTACTTCAATAATCTTGTTTCAAGTTTTCTCTGCTGGGCTCAAATTCACCTTCAGCTTTAGTTCAAGGTCATCTCCACAATTCTTCATTGTAAATAAAAGATAGTAAAGAATGGGTTTCAGTTGCTTTTAATCCAACTTTCCCATTGACAGACATATATCTAATAGAGTCAAGTAAAACTAAGAACATACTCACATGCAAATTGTTTCCATGCAGTGATAATTACCCAGAAGATAGGGATGGACTTCCTTTTTACTCCTCCATCTAGTGCCGAATTCAGCCTAATTAGATCCAATAATTAATCTTCTTTACATTTCCATTGACTTAAAAGTAGTTTTCAGAAGATCTCTGCTTCAGGGAGGAGATTGAGGCTTCACTCCCGTGGAGTTGCGACACTGCCATGTCTGCAGGCTTAGTCACTGGCTCCCCCCCCACTCCCCATTCCTTTCGGAACAGGGGTTTGAGGGTCGCGGGAGAGCCCTTTTGCGGACTGCTAGACCGCTCAATGTGGGAATGTTCAGGGAGGCAGGAGAGGATATATTGTTTAATAATATCCTTCCTAACTTGCACTAGCAAGTTCTATAACTTAGCAGAGTTTTAACATTTCCCTTTTAAACGCACAGCGGGTCGCTGGTTGCAAGCTTTTTTAAGCTTCTCAATATAGATTCCTGGTAAGATCCCTTATTTCCCTCTTAAAAGAATAAACACTCCACAATCTTATTTAAGGTATATAAAAGTAGTTTACTCACAGCAGCAGCAGCAGTTCACAGTTGGATCCCTGAAGGCAGACTTAGTTACAGATGTGAGTCTTGTTAGAAAAACGTTCTTGGGGAGATAACGACCCCCCCTCCCAGGACCTCTGAGCGTCTCCCGGTAGGCACGTCTCTGGAATGGCATGTCCTTTCATCTCCAGACTGCCTTTCTGCAACACTTTTCATATGAAAAGTGCACACAAGTCTTCTAGCATCATACAGCAAGAAGAAAGAAACATCCATAGATCTAAACTTCATTTTATTTACATTCTATACAGACAATCCATAATCACATCTGTGTTCTCCAGTCTCTGGAAGAACAACTGTTGCATACTGCAAAAGTGAAAGTACAGTACAAAAACACGCTCAGACGGAAGAGATAAGACAGTTTTCCATTCCCACACTCTTGTGAGACATCTCATGTGATTTATACTAATCACACTAGTAGTTTCGGTTACATAAATTCCCAACAAGTCTTTCCCATAAGGAGATAGTCTCTTTGTCCTCTGTTGGCTGATGATCAGACTGGCACTCCTTTTCTCCATTCGCTTGAGACCGGAAGTCCCCTGTTGCCTCTTTTCATCTTTATAGAAATCTATAAAGATGCAGTAGATGTCTTACAAAGCACATTTTCCTCCTTTCGTCATCAATGTAATATGATTTCACAAAGGTAGCTCCTAATTATTTTAGTATATTATATGCTACCTTTCCAAGGTGAAACCATTATGTTGCACTTTTTACAAAAAAATATTGTTTTAACACTGGGCAGCAGTGAAACCAGCATCACAGCCTGGTCTTATAGCATTCCCCATTTCACATGGTTTCCTTTTTAGTGTTTTTTTTGAAATAATGTGTCATCTCCAAATGAATGGAGAGAGAATTAAGTGAAAGTTAATTGAATTCTTTCAAAACATCCCTAATGAACCCTTATCTTAATTTACCAAACAATTAATATTAACTTCTCTTTAGAAGATATGATTCACATGGGGCATCAAGGCACTGACTGTCAAAGTATCTCTCCATATATATATTTTAAAATGTTTTATGAACCTGAAAATACATTTCTCCTGCCCCTGTTAACAGTACATTAGTATTTGCCATTGTAGAAGCTGAGATAACGGTAATAGATTGTGAGCCCTCCATAACTGTAAAACAGAGCAGTTTCAAATATCTCACATTTCAAATACTGATGGATTACAGAGCTGAAATGCCTGCTTCCTGATTAAATTAAATGACCGGACTCTTTTTTGTCAGGAGTAAGGTTTATTATAGAGATTATGGTTCAAAACTGAAACCCACAATGCAAATGGAACTCCTAAGGTACCAAAGTGTCATAATCTGTTGCAACCTTTATCCACACTTCCATCGGGTGTTTTTTGTTCAGGGGTTGCTTTGTGCAAGATGGCCTTGGGAGGTTGTGGGCTCTCTTTCATTGGAGGGTTTTAGGCATTTCAGGGGGTCTGACGAGATGACCCTTGGGATCCCTTCCAAAGATACAATTCTATGATTCTGTGATCTGCTGATGCATATATATAATATGCATGCATATCTCACCAGCTATTTACAAATCAATTACCTTTGCTGTGTGTGTTCCCTTTCATATTTAATTTCCATGTTTGTATTTCTAGCAAAAACAGCAAAGATTCTTCTACAGATAAAGACAAAGTTAATGAAGTGGCAAATGGCCCATCACAAAGCCATCTAGGGCTGCCATTCCAACCATGCCTACTCAGAAGTAAGTCCCATTCAGTTCAGTGGGTTTTACTCCCAGGAAGGTGGGGTTAGGATTGCTGTCTATTTTTGGTAGTTTAACAACCTGTAACTCCATTTTAATGGCAGTATTTAATACCTAAATGAGTATTTAATACAGAAAATGGATATGTGAATTCGCCAGCTTTTAGTAGGCTGCCTGTGGGGGAGAATTCACTAGAAATATATCCTGGAGATCAGCATATGGAAAATGTGGAAACATTTGTCTATGACACTTGGCTGTAATTTCACCATGAGGTGTCTTGGTGCTCTCGCACCAGAGCCCCAGCAGAGCCTTGCTCAGGTGACTCAGATACCTCCGATACTCTTGCAGGTACCAGTTCATTAGGAATCAGGAAATGCAAAGAGCCAGGAAGGTTCCATCTGGTCCTACACGGTTTCCTAGTCCCAGTCCAGTCATTGAAAGCAAAGGGACTTAATTGACTAATAGGTTCTATTGCTCTCACTGGATCTCATTTACAGCCAGCTTTCAGTGAATGGGGGCCTCTTGCTCTGGCCTGGCTTCTTGGTCTGAACCACAGACAGGTGCAGGTTCAGATGCTGCCATATTGCCTGTTCCTCTTTACTTGCCTTTCAGATTGGTTATTGTTAAATACAGTGGGAATGGTAATTTTGTGTGGAGAAGGACCCCAAAATGACATTGCACCCCAAAATGACTTTCATGTTTACTGTGGGGAAGGGAAATCAGCTGTTGGGGGAGAGAACTTGGGAAGAGAAACGAGAAGCAAAGAAGGGCTGGGGTGCTCCCTGCGCTCTTGCTGCCTCTTTGTATTACTTTAGAAATGGGTGTTATAAATTGGGGTGGG